TGTATCGTAACTAGAGCATGAAGGGCAGTAGGAGAAAGATAAATAGATCTATATAGAGTACTATATTTTTGTTAAGTGTTCCAGTATTAACCCTAATACATTTTGAGTATTTAAGGAATTATACTTGTAATTCTGGGAGCCAGCAATAAAAAAAGGAGGATAAAATGCTTATATGTAAATTATAGTAAAATTCTGATAAAAATATTCAAGTAATCCAAAAGAAGGCAGAAAAGGAGAAAACAGACAAAATCAACAGGAAAGAACCAACAGAAGATAATAAATCTAAACATTCTCGCATTAAGACTAGATAAAAGCAGAAGACCCAATTATATGCTCTCTACAGGAGACCTAAAAAAAAAAAAACCTAAAAACAAGACCTTAAAATATATGAATTAAAAAAGGTAGAATTAAAGTTAGAAATAGGCAATTCTGTAATACTATGAGGAAATTTTAATACCAGAGTCTCAGAAATTGGTAGCACTAGACAACCATCAGTAAAATCACAGAGAATCTGATAAATGTTATCAACTACCTTTATCTGTAAGTCTAAAAAATAAATAAATAAACATAAATGAACAGAATTATATGGGAAATACATCATATCACCTCTTTCAAAATTTAAATACAAAACTAAAAATTAGTAAAGATTTAAACCATGCAAAATACAACTTCAAATGTGACCTTTATATAACAGTTAAGAAATGTATATTCTTCTCAAGCACATTTGTAATGTTATGGTAACTGTCTATGCACTAATGATAAAACAAATCTCAGTAAATTTTGTAGAATTAATATTGTAACAGGATGGCAGTTTAGTGGGAAGTGGAGGTTCTCACAGCTCTGTGACTTGGGATATAATCAACAATGTGTTAAATGGGGATGAAAAACACTTTTTATGCATACTCAATATTGAGTACCCATAGATCCATAGATAATCAATATTGGACAGAAAGTCTTGAATGCTGGAAAAATTGGAGTACACCAGACAAGGCTAAGGAGCAGATTAGGAGCTGAGCTGGGGCAGGGCGGTGGGTGGAATACAAGATTTGAAAAGATCTACAAGTGCTGTAATATTTTGGCTTGGGGAACCCCAGGATCTGAGGCGCAGACAACCCTGGGTGAACCCAGAGGCTATTCAGCCAAACATACTAGTATGCAAAAAGGTATGGCCAGCCAGCTGCCCACAGTGAGCAGCAAATACCTCCATGTAAAAGTGGTGCAAACTCAAACCAGGTGCTTAGATCTGCGAATTCAAGGCTAGAACCTGTAGATGAGTCCAGCAGACTAACCGGGAGATCTAAAGTTGAGCCCAGAGAATTAGGAGAATCTCTGGCACAATTTTCTGGCAATGAATCCATTTTGCTTGCGCACATTACATACCAGGCCAAAGGAAGCTGTATCCCTTTGCTCACTCCACTGAACAAGCAAGAACACTAGTAGGGAGAAGAGAAATGGGCTGGGGTGCAGAAACAGACAAAACTCAGTGCTCCTCAAATGATCTGCTTGGGGCTAAAACAGATTCAAAAAAGCTAGAGAAAGCTTCCCACAAACAATGCATTAAATCCATGAGCAGGAACAGCAGCAGGGGGAAGACAAACAGGGCAGGGTGGAGAAAATAGAAAAGCTCAGTGCTTAATCAGCCTTGTCAGGGGGTAATTCTGATCAGAGAGGTCAGAGCAAGCTGGAGTCCCACTAACCCCTTCCACTGAGCCTGCAGTCCACAGCAAACAGAACCAGTGACAGGGAGAAACTGAATAGAAGGGAGTGTCTGAGTTTAATGCTTGAAAACCCCTGTTGAGAAGTCCCCCTAAAACCTCAGCATCCCCCCCAAAATAGAACTGGTGAAGGACCAACTCCCTCTTCCCACAGGTGGTGCTCTAGGAATGCTGTGGGATACAGACCCAGAAGCAAGTTGAAAACTGCGTCATAAAAAACACCTAGGGAAAAACTAGACCAAATCCATTCCCTGGGGAGCTTCGCTGACAACAACACAGATCTAAAGACATTACTCAGGTAATCATCCTGCCAACATCTTCCACAGCTTCTCACACCATCCTGCTGTGAAGAACTGAAAGGCAGTTTGACACAGACAATGGACATAAAAACAATGAAAAAACTTTCATTGACTATTTTGCTGTTCTGTTTTTGCTTTTGTTAAGTTTTGGTTTGTTTTTTAAATGTATACTCATTGACAAATGATGGACATTTATGCATTTGTACATATATTCTTGTTTCTGTTGTTTTGTTTTTAGCTTGTAGCATTCCCTTAGGAAGGATATGGAAAATGACAACCCCCCAAAACTCTCTGATCTGGAGGAAGATGGAGGAGGAAGGCAACCATTAATCCTCTTCCAATAAATCTTTTGCCAGTAACAATGGGCCCCTAAGGAAAAAAAGCAAATTTTTATCCTTTCCCAGGTTCATCCCCAACATCTAGCAAATGCAAACATGCATCCCTTCCCAACCACAATGGGTCCTGAAGGGAGGAGGCAGACACTGAAACCTGGCCCTGGAGTTTTACCCCTTCCACTGCTGATGAGTCCTGGAAGTTGAAAAACAAATAGTGAAGCTCTGGGAAACAATAAAATCCAGAGAAAGAAGGTAAGCAGTGAAAACTGAGTTCTGAACTTTTCCCAGTGACAATGAGTTCCAGGCCTTTTACAACTTTTTTCCTGACTGTAAAACACATCTGCCTCAGTCTCCAGTGATACTTATTCCACCATCATTGTGTCCCATAAAACTCAAACCCCTTCTGTAACTGATGGCCATTTTCGTACCTTCTAGTTTCTGACTGGTGCTGCTGTTGAATAAAGGAAAGCTGGCTGATCCATTTGAGTTCTGCTTCCGCCCAGTTATTTGTGTTTTCATAAAGGTGCCAATTGACTTTCTACTGACTATTTCACAACTATTTTCCTTTTCTCTTTTTTCTTGCCAACAGCCAAACTCTACTGCTTTCACTCTTCCTTTAAGTTTTACACTTCTATTCTTTTTCTTTAATTATTGTTATTTGGGTTTTTGTTTTGTTTTATGTTCTTGTCTCTTAAAAATACACCCTACATTGCCTCTGCATAAACCTCACCCAGTTCTAGAATCTACAAACCTTTTTCTACTGCTCCATCTCTTCTTCTTTTCCTCTTACTCTATCTTTAACAGGAAATATAGACATACTCCTATATCCTATTTTGTTTCTCATTTCTACCATTTTATTTTAAGAATGATATTATTATTCATAGAACAATAATTTTTATTTCTTTTTTCTCTCACTTATCAATTTACCTCAACTCTCTTTCTTTTCCTCTGCCAACCTCTAATGCTCTCTCTCCCTCCTTTAACTTTTTACCTCTATTTTTGCATCTCTTCCCTCATAATCATCACACTCTACATCACTTCTATTATACCCCTAGCCATCATGTGAAATTGTAAATCCTTATGTAAACTTACTGTTTTCACCATGGACAAGAACTATTTCAACAGAAAAGCAGAATTATAGACAACACAAACTAATAAACATTTATATGCTGTAGGGAAGGCCCCAAATGGCTATAGTTAGGCTCCCTTTCTTTGGTTTCTGATGGGCTATGTTTGTAGGGTGTAGTCAAGGTTATAAACATCTGAATCAGCATATGTAGTCAAGATCATAAACATTTGCTTGTGAGTATGTGTGCACTGATTTAACCTGTTGCCTATGGAAAGGACTCAGGGGACAAAACAGAACTGGCTGGGGGCTGAAGTAGAGCTGGAAGCTGGCTAGAGGCCTCCAAATAAAGCATGCTTACTAGCCCAATTGCATCTTGCACCTCCTTCAACCTGTGGGATCCTGAATCTGTTTCCTGGGTCTGAGCCTCCACCCTGACACATGGTAAAATAAAAGTATCAAATATTCAATCACCCAAAATGAATTAATAGAAGTTAAATTTTGATGATATATCGAATTAAGTATAAATTGAATACATCATCATAATACTTTTTTACATATAAAAGATGTGAATTTGGGGGAGGGGTGAAGGGAATATGGAAATATCATAGAAGCAAACAGTCAATTCTAAGTTGCATGTATAGCAAATACCTATCCAAGGTTTCCATGTCAATCTCTTAAAAAAGCATTTTTAAGTAAGTGTATAAATGTAATGTAATCTCTAAGTAAAGCAGTTAGGTTAATTGGGCAATAATTTAAGGCTTTGCATATAGAGCCTACAATTGTGGCACAAAAAATGGTAGATTGATGGAACATGAAATAATATAACCTATGGATCACCTATTATAGAAAACATACCACTACTTTCTAAATGTCATATAATAATAAATACTCAGAAACTTCACAATAGTGTGTATTTGATTAACTGTTATGTTTTGACCTTTCTATGATTACAGATAATCAATGGTATGAGGTAGACATGGAATTCAGATCATGAACGATAATATTTGAAATATTTTGGTCACCCCAATTATTAATATTTAGACATCTGAATTTTTTTATTCTCAGATACAGCTCAATATAAATATTTACATAGGACCTAATATCCATTTATGAAAGATAATAAAATATAATTAAAACCACAGTCTTCCTAATTAAGTGGAATCAAATGGAAGGAACAGAAGTAAGTGGAAGAATCTATAAATCAATGCACAATGAAGTTGTATATGCATTAAGTCAGAAAGTCAGATCCATATAATACCATTCTTTTACTTGCTCTTCACCTCTTGAAACTGGCCTTATTTCCTGAATTATCTCTTCTGAGATATATCAATCATACATTATCAAATTTTTTGTTGGACCAGTCTCTGTGTAAGTATGACTCACAAAGTAAAAACATGGGTAAGAGTGAAACATAGAAACTTGGGGAATATTATGTGGGAATCTGTAGAAAGTATGGAGATATTTAGAACCAGAAACCACATCATATTAACTTTTTTTTTTAACCAAACACATAATACCACTCCTCCAATTTCAAGTCAAGACACTATATCTCCAGTATTTATTTTGAAAGCAAACATCTTACCATGTGGAATTGTGGTCTGGAAAGGACGACTTGGACTTTTTAGGTTCCATAAGGTCAAGCTACCGTCTGAATGGCTACACATGAACTGTTTGCCCTCATGATGCCAATCAATTGAATGAATTGCCTAATAACAATTAAAAACAAGTAGGAAGAAGATGAATAGATATATCATTTTATATTTCAAAAGAAAAATTTGGACATAAAATTACTGTACTAATAAACATGTAAGAAACACTTTTTTTTTCTCCTGACCTAGATCAGCCTATCTTTGGCTTCAACACTCTACTGACTTACAAAAGGGTTATTAAAATGCATCTCCTAAGATAAAGAAAATTTAAATAAATTTTTTAATATCATTAAATACCAGAATGTTTTGTTGGAAATCCTATGTCCTATGGATCTTATGTATCCTATTCCCATATAATGGGATGCTTATTTGAAAAACCGGTTGCATAAAAGTAAAAGTAATATCAGAGAAAACATTTGGCAATTGTTTTGGGGTGATTGGCTTACTTCACTTAGCATTATATTCTCTAATTCCATCCACTTACCTGCAAATGCCATGATTTTATTCTCTTTTATTGCTGAGTAATAAGGAGGCTGATTCATAGTGAGGTAGGGAGGGGGAATATGGGAGGAATAGATGAACTCTAGATAGGGTAAAGGGGTGGGAGGGAAAAGGAGTGGGCATGGGGTTAGAAATGATGGTGGAATGATATGGACATCATTACCCAAAGTACATATATGAAGAAACAAATGGTGTGAATATACTTTGTATATATCCAGAAAACAAACAAACAAAAGTAAAAGCAAGATTATCAGAAAATAATTTCTTGGAAAATAGAGGCTTAATTCCACTCAAAGTAGTCAGTTTAAAAAAATCATTAAAAAACTTCTAAGGTTCCAGACCTCATGGTAAGCATTTTTATACATTAACTCATTTAATCCTTCAGAATACATATCAAATTTCTCAATTCTTCATAGTGAACCACACAACTCAAAGGCAGGATTCTCTAATTACAAAACCCATATTTTCAATCATTGTATTACATTGCCATTAGTACATACTATTTAAATTCACTTAAAGCAAGTGTTTTTTTTTTAATTTTCAAGCTTACTCTGCTCTTTTGATTAAAAGTAATTATTCCATTTTCCTAAAATGTTTTAATCCAGTACTAATAGTATCTTATATAAAGTACGTTTTCAAGAAATATCTATTGAATGAATAAATAATTAATGTCACACACAATTCCAAATCTTTGGTATTTTTTTTAATTAATAAATTATTAGGACTTGGATAATGTGCTTAATTAAGTACAATGACAGAAACTCTAGTAGACAAAAAAGCAGAACAAATGTATACAACATTTTTATCCTTACAGAAATTTCAAGAGGGAAGATGAATATAGATGAATAGTGATCATAACTCATTTGGACTTTTAATACACACATATAGATAAATACATATAACTATATATTTATAAAGTTACCTATATATTAAAGTTATAAACAATAAGTATTATTACAGTTACAGATAACCGATGGCTAGAATAATCATAAAATATATTATATAGGAAATAAGGTATGAGTTGTGAATCAAAAGATAATTGAGGGGGCTGGAGTTATAGCTCAGAGGTAGATCACTTGCCTCTCAAGAGTGAAGCACTGGGTTTGATCCTAGCATCACATAAAAACAAATAAAGGCATTGCATCCATATATAACTAAAAAAATTAAAAAATAATTAATATTTGATGGAATGGTAAGGACACCTTGAAATTCTGGACTTGTGTTTTCTCCTACACTGGCCTTCATTATTATGCAGAGAATACTTCTTTTTCTGCCAGTCTCCAGAAGCAGGAAAACATTCTTCACTGTCTTCCCCTCTGCTTTTTTCTTCTCCCTTCTATAGGTGGTATGGGAGAAATGTTATTCTTTTGTGTCACCTCCATATTAACTTTGATGAACTTCAATCAATTTACATTTCTTGAAGGTTGCTTTGGTCACCAAAGTTGGGGGAGGCAGAGAAAGCATTCCTCACCCTAAACCTTCATCATATTCCACTGAATGTCTATCCAAGGGAGAGGACAGATGTAAAAATTATAGCCATGACAAAGCCAAAATAAATAAGTGCTTTAAATGAAGTATAATTATGTAGAAAAGAATAGGCTTATATAATCAGCTTGTTAGAGATTAGTATGACAAATAATGCATAAAAGAAAAACTGGCATGTGAACTGATTCAATCTTTATTTATTTTATCATACCCTACTCTTTTATTTTTTAAAAAATACACTTAAAGGGTTTATTAACAGTCAAATGTAATACATCTATTCAAGAAAATAGTTTTAAATATAGTAACAGAATTTGAAAGATAAGACACTACTTATATTTGGTCAACTCAGTGGCTGTGACTATTTCTTTAACATGGAAAAGAAAAAGAAAAAAAAATGAAACCCCAAAGTTAAGGTAATAATCTATAAAAAGAAAATATAGAGTTTTTTCCAGGAATTGAAAGATTTTCCTCATGTCAAGTTCTCCATGAGAGATTATTTTTAAAATATAGACTTAATGGAACAAAAATTGATAGCTATTTATTTCTGATAACAATCAGATTTCTAAAATATCAAAATTCACTAATGATTATTCAAAACGCCAGCCAGCCAGTCCGAATAGCTTTCTAGTACATAAGAAATTAAAGGGATTTTGATATTCAGATGCCAAGAATAGAGTTCATGATAAGGAATGGTAGTAGTAGTAAAAGCTTGGAGATAAGAAATATGGTATGTTAGGAGATAGAAAGTGACATGTCTGAAATATGATGAATGTAGAAGGATATAGTAAATTAAATGGAAAAGCACTCCAGCCCAAACTCTCATGTCAAGTAACACAGAATTCATTGTAAAGGGAATCACTTAAAGGTTCTGAGGTAGAGAACTGCATGATTTTACTATTCTTTAAAATGTTAATCTTATTAGAGAAGGATATACTGAAAAGGTAAGATATCAAAAGAAAGATGATTAGTTTTATCCAGGCAAAAAATAACAACATAGACTAGGACATTGGATGTGAAAATGAGAAAACAGAGGAAATGAATGAGGCAATATAAAGATAAAATCAAAATGACTACAAAAGTTGATAACATTAGATATACTTCATTTATTTTATTTTAATTTTCATTATTTTTTCTCTCTCACTTATCCACTTCCTTCAATTGTTTCTCTTCTTTCCTCCACTAACAGGTAACCTCTAATGTTCTCTCTTCCACTCTTTAATTTTTACCTCTATTTTTGTTCTTATTCCCTCATAATCATTACATACTTCAACACTTCTATTATACCCTTGGTTACCACATGAAATTGTAAACCCTTGTGTAAACTGATTTCATCGTGGGTAATAACTGATAATATAATTTCTCAGTATTGTAACATTGAGCTATCTGGTTTAATGCTGTAAATTATTTTCACTGGTTGTTGTTACTGTCTGTCTCCCCCTAAACTGCAAGATACAGGAAACCCTCAGGGACACTATAATTCCACAAGGTAGAAACCCTAATGATTCAAAATCAACTGTTAGATGGGTAGACATACAAACAACACAAAAATGCAAGGGTATAAATTGCCTCCAACAAACCAAAATACATCAAAAACAGAATCCATTGACACCACAGTGGAAGAAATGTCAGAGAAGGAATTTAGAATGTACATAGTTAAACTGATATGCAAGGTAAAGGATGATGTAAGGGAGCAACTACAGGGAACAAAGATAACTTCAATAAAGAGATTCTGAAGAAAACAAACAGAAATGCACAAAATGAAGGAATCAAAAAATCAAATAAAAAACTCATTGGAAACTATCACTGGCACAGTAGACCACCTGGAAGACAGAGTCTTAGGTAGTGAAGACAAAATATATAATCCTGAAATAAAGTTGAGCACGCAGGAAAAATGTTAAAAAGATCATGAACAGAATTTCCAAACAATGTGGGATAACATGAAAAGCCCAAACTTCAAAATTTATTGGAATACACAAAGTCACAGAGATACAAACCAAAGAAATGCATAATCTTTTCAATGAAATAATGTCTGAAAATTTCCCAAACCTTAAGAATGAAATGGAAAATCAAATACTGGAAGTTTACAGGACCCCAAACATACAAAATCACAACAGACCCACACTAAGGCACATTATTTTGAAAATGCCTAATATAGAGAATAAGGATAGAATTCTAAAGGTTGTCAGATAGAAAAATCAAGTGACATTCAGGGGAAAACCAATTCAGTTCTCTGTTGATTTTTCAACCTAGACACTTAAAGCAAGGAGGTCATGGAATAATATATGCCAAGCGCTGAAAGAAAATGGATATCAACCAAAAATAACATACCCTGCAAACTAAGCTTCAGATTTGACATTGAAATAAAAACCTTCCATGATAAACAAAAGTTAAAAGAATTTACAATCAGAAAGCTTACACTACAAAACATTCTCAACAAAATATTTCATGAAGAAGAAATCAAAAATAAAAGTGAAATCCAGAAAAGAGTAACTATACTAGAAGTATAGTCAATCAAAAAAGAAGCTATTTCAAATTAAAAACCAGTAAGAATTAAAAATGACAGGGAATAAGAATAATTTCTCAATAATAATATTAAATGTAAATGGCCTGAACACATCAATCAAAAGACATAGACTGGCAGACTAGATTAAAAAATAAAACTCAACACTATGCTCTTCCAAGAGACTCACCTCATAGCCAAACACATCTATAGACAGAAGGTGAAAGAATGGGAAAAAACATCACACTCACATGGATCTTGCAAACAAGCATGGATTTCTATCCTCATATATGAACAAGTGGACTTCAAGTCAAAATTAATCAGAAGGGACAAAGAAGGCCATTTCATACTGCTTTAGGGAACTACACATTAACAAGATGTAACAATCATGAACATTTATTCTCCAAACAATGAAGCATCTACATACATAAAACAAACCCTTCAAAAATCCAAGAATCAAATAGATCACAAAACAATAATACTGGGTGACTTCAACACACCTCTCTCACCAATCAATAGATATTCACATCAAAAACTAAAAAAAGAAGCCATAAAACTAAAAAGTATAATT